TAAATATAAAATTTCACGTTATCTCTAATAATATAAAAAAATACATACATATGTAATGCTAAAATAAATTAAATACATTATAACAATATATATATAAATATTAAAGATTCCAATTAATAAAAAAAATATTAAATATTAAAAGTTTTATCATCTAATTATTTTCAAATTTATTTATTTTAACAAATAAATTAATATTTTAACTATTTTTTAATAATTTTTATTTATTTTCAAAAAAATAATTATAATTTAATTTTTTAAATTTAAATATATAAATATCTTTTCTTTATTTTTGTATCAATATTATATTTATATTTTAATTATTTAAAATAAAAAGTTTTAAATATAGTGTATTAATTAAATAGAAAAAGATATATAAATATATATGTATAAATATATATATATATATATATATATAAATATATATAATTTATTATATATTTACAATAACAATACAAATATATTATCTATATACTTTAAATATATAATATTTTAATTCAAAAAATTTTTAAAACATATTTTAAATTTATAATAGATAATAGAATTATATTTTTAAATGTATTAAATATTATGGAATTTATCATAATATTAATTTAATAGCCAATTTTAGTAGACAATTATAATTTTTATTATTTAAATTTGATTAAAACTTTTTATTTAACTAAAGTGTGTAAGCATTTTTACAATCTCTGTTTTATATAATATAAACTTTAATTTTTACCTTGATAATTCTGTTTTTAAAATAAATATTTTAATTAAGTAAAAAGATTTATTATTTACAACTACAAAAATCAAAACAAATTATTTAAAATTAAAAATAAAAAGAAGATATATCATGAAAATTATTTTTAATATGAAATATTTTTATATAAATAGGCTTTTAATCATCGAAAAAAATGATATAGACAAAGATGGCATTATTTTAAATAAAAAATAAAAAAATCTTAAAAATTAAATTAATAATTATATTTTTTTTGAATAATCATTAAGATTTAATATTAACTAAAATTAAATATTAAAATATGATTAAAAGAATAGTATTAAATAAAATGAAATGTTTTTTAGTTTTGTTTTTATAAAAAAATTATTTTAAGATTTTTATTTTATAAATAATGTAAATTATTAAATTTTAAAAATTAAATTCCATATTTATAATTAATTATTTATTTTATATATAATATTATTATTTTATTTAAATCAATTATCATCATCTTCAAAAGGATTTCTTAAAGCACTTCTTCCATAATTAGAAAATATAGTATCTAGATTATCATTATTTCTATCAGCTTCATTAAAAAATGATTTATTATTAGCTTTTGAAATAGTTAATCTATTCGTACTAATAGAATTATTTAATCTTTAATAAGAATATTAAAAGCTTTATTTTAATTCCTAAATTTCTTCTTTTTTAGACGAACTTTATTATATGCTAATTTTTTAAGTTTAGTTTTTCTAAGGCGAATTTTCTTATTTAATTTCTTCTTCATTAAAGCTATTTGATTTTTAATAATTTTTTTTATTTAAATTTATTTTTGCCTTTCTTTTTGCAATTCTTTCAAGAAGAATTTTATCCTATTCTTTAAGGTCATTTTCCACAATATTATCGTTCTAATTGAATGTTTTTTCTATATTATTTAAAATATCTTACAATTAATTCTATTCATTTAATCTATAATCCACTAATTCACTATTAATATTATATTCTCCCCTTATTTTTCTCTATATAACACTTTCCCTTCCAAAATAATTGGCTGTAGTTATTGCTGAAAAGTCCCTGTCTATATCCACCTATTGGCTATCAAATGTACTTTAAAACAATGCTTAGCCCTTTGTTTATATTTATTTTTAGGTTTGTTAACATGTTATTTATTCTATTGATTCTTTTCTGCTTAATACAAATTGGATTTTGTCCATATAATAATATTTTGATGAGTCCTTTATGGAATCGTAATATTCGACTGCTGTAGCGTACATTGTTATTAAATCGCTTATTTATTATATGTTTATTTCTTAACTATGGAATAATTTTTCTAATTCTAACATTTTTGTGAAAAATTAACGGTCTACTTTAAGTCTTTCATTTTATAATTTCATTTTTTGTTTTTTTTTAATAGAAAATAAAATATTTTAATATTTGTTTTAATAAATACTTATATTGTTATTATAAATATACTTTCTATGATGATATTATTTTCAAAATATATAAAATTCTTAAATTTTATAAAAAATAAAAAATTATAAGTTATAATGTAAATTTTTTAATAAATATAATTAATTAAAAAAAATATACTTTATAAATTCTTTACTTTATTTTTGAAAGTCTTATATTATATTTTATTTCTATGAAAATATATAATGTCAAAAAAAATATTCAAATTAAAGGTATTTTCATTAATTAATTATGTGAACAAAACAATAATTATAAAATTATTTTTTTAAAGAAATTATTATATAATATAATATTAAAATGCCCAAACAAAATAAAATAAAAGACAATAATTAAAAGTGCTTTATTTTTTTTAACAGAAATTATTACTTATCCTTTAATAAAATTATGGCGATAATTTTTTTTTGAAAAAACTATTCAAAATTAAAAATAATGCTTTTGTAAATATCTATTTAATAAAATAGAAATAATATTTTTTTGATTTAAACATAAAAATTTTCTTTTAGAAAATAATTATTTCTTTAAAATATATAATATACTTAATAAACTTATTTTTATTAAACTTTAATAATTAAATAATATTTATTTTAATTTTTCTATAAAATTTATTATTTTTATAGACTATATACTCCAAAAAAATTCTTTTATTAAAAAATACATTACAAACTTTTAAAAATAAATTATATATAATAAATAATATTTAATATTTTTATTTTAAAATTTAATAAAAATCTTTTTAATGAATATTTGTAAAAATTATGATATTTTTATAATTAATAAATATCAGATGTTGATTTTAAATAAGAATATTATTAATTTTATAACTTTTAAAATGATATATAAGTTTAAATATATTTATTTTATTTGGTTTAAATTTTTAAAAAAAAAAAATATAATAAATATAGTTAATTGTATATATATTAATTTTTAATAATATTAATTTTAATAAATTAAATATTTAAATATTTAATTTAGATTTTTTTATATATATTAATAGATATTCATATTATATCTTTCTATTTATACACGCAAATTAATTATATTAAATTATTCATTTTTATGTTATTCTTATAGTTTTTTTATAATTACAATAATAATTTTCCACTAATATCTTTGGTTATATTTTAATGATTTTTATTTTAATAAATTCTATAACGTAATAACTTAATGTAATTAAACAATACATATAATGAAGATGAAGGATATTTAAAACATAATTTAATTTTTTTATTCTTTTATGTATTTAAAGTTAGAGCTAAATCAGTAAAATATAAAAAATATATTAACGTTTGTGTTTATAGCTGTATATAAAGAATAAACCTCTTTTTTTAAAAAAATGATAGAAGATATCATGATGATTAGAAACTTTTGTTTTGCATAATTTATTGGTATACCTAATAGACAAAATATTATATTAATATATAATGCAAAATAAAAATTCAATAAGGATACTAATATTAAATTAATTTCTTATTATTATAAAAAAAAATATATATAAAAATATAAATATAGATAAAAATAAAAAAAAATTGTAAAAAATATAAATATATATATAAATATAATTTAAATAAATATATATATATATATATATTATTTTTTTATATATATATATTTATATATTTATGAATTCATTATAAATGATTATCTTTAACAATACATTTTCAATGAATATTAAGAAAATTTTTTTATTTTTTTTAAAATAATAATTTATTTTTTTGAATATTAATAAAAGATATTTTTTTCATTTAATTATGCATATATTATTATTAAAATTTTAACTTATATTTGATTTATATATTTATTTCATTTCATATTAATATTTATAAATAATTAATGCTATGTTTTTATTATTTTTATTTTTAAAAATAAATAAATATATTTTTTACTGATTAATAATAAAATGCATTTATTTTTTAAAAGTTATCATTTATTTAAGTAATCTAATTTTTTCATTTATATCTAATAATATTTTTGTTAATTTTTAAAAATATATCATTATAATTTGATCTTAAAATTTTTTATTTATTTTATATTTAATTTAAATTTTAGAATCGTAAATAAAAAAATAAATATTTTATATAAAAAGAAAATTATAACTAAAAAAAAGTTATTATATATATTTGTATTTTTAAAAAAATATTAATAATTATAATTTTTTTCTTTTATTTGATAAAATGATAAATAAAAATTAAATGAAAAAAATTATTAAATTATATGTGTTTTAATAAATAAATTAATATTAATTTGTATTTATTTAATTAATTTTTTTTATAAAAAATATTTAAAAAGATAGAATAAAAAAATTATATTTTTTTGAAATATTTTAATTAATAAAATAATGAATATTAAAGAATTTATATTCTTTTAGAATATCAATTAAAGGCAAAAATAATGTTTGTTTATTCGTATTTGAATTTTGATAAAATTAAACAAATTTAATTCAAAAATTATTTTACTAATTTATAAATACTATAGGTATTTTTTTTTTTTTAAAGATTTATATAAATATAATATTTATATTCTTTTATTTAATTTGTAGTTATTATCTAATTCTAAATAAAAAATCAGTTATTAGTATCAACAAAGACAAATAATTTATTTAATTTAGCTATATCTTTTTCTAATTGGGCTAATTCTTTTTCGCTATCTTCTTTCCTAAATTTTTTAAATATATTTATATATAAAGAAAATAAAATATATGTATAAAATTAGTACTTTCTTTTTAATCCTATAGTATCTATTTTATTAATATGTGTAATAGTCTAATATTTATTATTAACTGCTTCCCATTTTGCTTTTAATCCATCTCTAAGTTATTTAATTTCTTCTTACGACATCATATATCTTTTTTAAAAAAAATAATTAAAAACATTTAGTATTTTAGAAAATTTACTTTTGTCTTTCAACTTCCTCAGTTTTAGTTAAATGAAGGTTTTAAATCATTTTATATTCATTTTCTAAATTTTGCTTATTTTAAGTTAAATAATCAGGGATTTTTCCATAATCTTTCTTTTTTAAGAAATCATCTTCTTATTTTAAAATTTTAGGGACCTTTAAAAAAATGCGATATAAAATAACTATATATATATATTTATTTACACTTAATATATTTTCAACAGCATTACTCACTATATAATTTTTTTTGAAATCTATCCCATTAAAGGTTTTTCGTTTTTCGAAGGAACTTTAGTCTTTCTATTTTCTTCATCTTAGTATTTAAATTATTTAACTTAAGGCAGCTTTAAAATTATTATTAATAAAATGATTTTTATTTTATTTTACTTTATTTGATCCCATTGTTCCTGTATTTTTCTTTCTGTACTCAGATGTTTAAGGTTTTATGCTTCCTAAAATGTATTAATTATTTAATTTTTAAATTTTTAAATATTTAATAAAACTTGTTTTTACATATTTGGATTATAATTACCTGGTACTTTTCCAAATGTTTTTGCATTATCTATGTGTTAATGTGGACCTTTAACTAGTTAGAAATCCCCAAGTAAATTTGCAACCTTTTTTTTTTTATAAAAATTATTTAAATTTTTAAATATTTAAATAATAAATAATTATATACTCCGGGACGAGAAGTTGTATGATTAATTAAAGTAGATCCTGTTGGGGCTAAATCTGGAGGATATTAAGATTTATATCTCCTTTCTTTTGGAGGAGGGACGTATTCTTTAGGTATGAGATTAAATATTGATTCTTCTTCCATTTTTTTTTTATTTTTTTTTAATATTATTATAATTTTTTATAACTTTTTTTTATTATTATTATATGATTTTTAAATAAATAGTTTTATTAAATAATAAAAATATAATTTATTTTATTAAATAGAAATAATTTTTATATAATATATGTATATATATATGTTTATTTTATTTTAATCTTAAATATATCTTAGATTTTTTGTAGATTTCTGTTTATTATAAAACAAAAAATATTTAAAAAGAAAATAATTAATAATAAATATATTTTTCTAAATATTTAATATATATATATAATATAAAAAAAATGAAGTAAAAAATAATTCTTGAAATACCTTAAAATAATTACTGCGAATTTTTATTTGAGTATTAAAATTAAATAATAATATTGTTATTTGTTCAAACAAAAAAAATATATATAAAATAAAAGTAAACAATAATTTACTACAAATAAGACTTAAGAAACATTTTAATAAAGAAATAAAGGGATTAACAAGCAAACATAATTAGATGTTGCTTTTTAATAAGTTTCTTCAAATACATTAGGAATTTCAATAATAATAAAGTATATTATTTATTATTAAAAAAAAAAATCCATTAATATAAATAAATAGAGAAAAGTAATAAATTTAAGGAAAAGAATTATTGCAAATAAGCGCGAAATTAGAATATTTACAAAATAGATAATAATTAAGCAATTTAAAGAATTTTTAAATGGAAATAAGGTAAATTATATATTTTATAAAAAAATAATATATATATAAATATATATATAAATATATATAAATATATATATATATATATATATTTATAAATATATAAATAAAAGACCTAATAATTTTCCTAATATAGATAGTTTAATGTATATATGTAGATTATTAAATAAAATATAAAGTTTAAACAATAAAATTTTATGGATAAGGCATTTTTATATAAAAAATAAAAATATTAATTTTAAAAAATATATATCATTAGATAAGAAAAAATTATCTCAATATAAGAATGTATTGATTTAGCTGAAATATTTTTGGCATAAAAAAATTTATAGTTTGCAACTTTTTATTTTACATAACTTTTTTCAATAGAAGTATATGATTAATTTTTATTTTTAGATATAAGGTAATATAATTATGTATATATATATAAATATATTTATACATATTAAATATAATTTAATATATATAAATAATTCTTTAATTACAAAATAGGGAAAATATATTTATGAAAACATAATAACTTGATAAAATATTAAATATAATAATGAATGCATTTCCTTCTTTCTAAGAAATGATAATTTTTATTGGAGAAAATAATTCTGATATAAGTTAAGGTATTAGTGAGAAGTTTTTTTAATTTTTAAATTATTACAAGAACAGTTTAAACAAAATAAAATTAGAAATAGGAGATAGAAATAATGTTGGTAGTATTTTATTTAAACACTGTTAAACACTACATTTGCCAAAATTATATTCATTTAATATAAAAATAATGAATAAAATTGATAAATTATCAACTGATTCATTAAATCTTTTCACTTTTTTAAAAAATTAAAAATCACTTTAAGAATTATCAGTTACTTACGGACAAAAAAATTATTTAAATTTACAAAATTGTTAATATTTTTCAAATGCAATATAAAGTATTTAAAATTTACAAAAAATTAATATAGATATAGGGTATAAAATATAATTATAAATATATATATTTATATATTTATATATATTTTTATTTATATATATATATTTATATATATATATATATATATATATATTATTATTATATTTTATATTTTTTATTTTTAAAAGACAATGGAATAAAATTTCTGATTAAGGTTGCATTTCTTTAATATAACCATTAAAAAATAATTAAAATATTTAAGAGATTAGCATTAATTTTTAGTAAATATATTATATTTTCTATATTTTAATTTTTTTTTAGTAGGAAATAATAATATTAGTTCGTTAGGATCGACTTAGTTTTTTTAAATCTTGTAAACTTTTAAATGCTTAAAATCGATAAAAGTAGGTTTTGCTGATAAAAATACTTTAGATCAATAATCCGTTGAATATTTTTCGAAATGTTTGGCAAGTTAAAATAACCTCTAATCTTTAAAAATAAATTTATATTAAGCTAATGATGCAGATTTTTCTTAATTATTTGAATCTGTTTAATTATAATAATCTTTGAATAATTTAAGTGTTTTAAAAGGGTTAAAAATATTAATATATATTTATTTAATAAATATAAATATAATATTTATATTATTTATTTGTATAATTATTCTTTTTAATAGAAAAGATTTTTATATGAGCCCTGAATGTGCAAAATAATTATGTAATTGTTTAATTAATAATTAAAATTTGAAAAATTTTGAATTAATTTTTTAGTATTTTAATATCAATTTATTTTTTATATGAATAAAATAAAATAAAGAGGAGAAGAAAGTTAATAAAATTATGTCTAAATTTTAAGCTTTGCTATATGTTTAAGAATGAATAAATCTCTTGTTGGACTTAAATTAAACATAGAGTATATCTTTTTTTTATTTATTATAATTATATATTTATTATATTAATTAAATTATATTAAAATATAGGAATATGCCAATTTAAAAATAATTATAATTATTAGTTTTAATATTATAAGGAAATACTAAATTTTTAGAAGTCTAAATATCTAACAAAATATTTTTTACTTTTAATTATTTAAATTTAAAATTAGAAATAAAGTAATATAAAAAATATAATAATATAAATAATATATATATATACTATATATATATTATATATAAATATATATATATATGTATATTCATATATATAGGGGACATTAATAATGGAATACTGATATAATGTATAAATTAAGATCAGGATTTTTAAGTTATGAGACAATAAATGAGTTTATTTTAAAAATAGATAAGGATGCATGTTTATCGTTAAATTTAGAAGAATTTAATTAAATTTTAAAATGTTTTTTTGATATAAATAAATCTAAACTTTTAAAAAAGAAAAAATAGCTCTTTAATTAGAAGGAGTACTATCCATATTTACAGAATCTACTTATTATGAAAACATACAACTTAATGATTATTAAGATAATTTTATTTTAAGATAAGCTGAAACTAATTATCTTTTTAAAAATTGTAGTGATATTCTTCATATATATTTTGAGTATTTTTTTTTTTTTAAGAAATTTTAAAAAATAATTAAAGTAAATCTCATATTGATATAACAGAAAGTGCTATTTTTAGAAATTTGATTAATTAAGCCTGTTTTGCTGGATTTAAAAAAATTAATATAAAAGGAAATGCATAAGTTGAAGAACAAAATTTAAATTAACAATAATAATAATAAGGAAATTAAAATTAAGAAATAACTGCTGAATCCTAACAATTAATTATTATTTTAAATTAAATAAATAATAAAACACTTTAATATTTATAATTTGAAATGATAAATGGATTTTATATTTAATTGAATCCTGAATATGTTAACATATATGAATTAAAGTATGAATTATATATTTATATATTTATTTTATTTTAAAAAAAGAAAAAGATGCTTAACAACGGATTGTCTTTAAATTTTATAAAAAAATATGTTTGATAGATGTGATTAAATTTAAAATGTTAACATAGAAATATGGTAAAATAAAAATATTTAAATATAAATATATATATATATATATATATATATTATATATATATATATATTTAATTTTTTTTTTTATTATTCTATTTTTTTTTTATTATTTTTATTAGTG